TATATTAGATTTATATTCAGACATTTTAATCGTTATGTCTCTACAAATGGTGGAAAAAGAAATATGTCAAGAAAAAAGATCTTGATAAAATATAAATGTATCTTTTAAAATATACCTTCAAAAAATTTTCAAAGCTAATAAAATTATCCAGAAAAACTAAAAAAGGAATTTGGCTATTTAAAATTCTTTTTCTAATTTCAACTAAACTTAATATGCTTACTTGAGCTCTAATTGCTTTTTCTTTTTTCCTGAAATCAGAGCAAATTAGAAATAAATTCGGAAAAAAGAGATATCTTCCTACTATAAGAATAGCGTTTTTTATGATAGCGAAAATTATAGATATGATGAAAATCGAAAGAAATTATATATATACGGTTAAAAAAAAATTTTACTAATTCTAAATTATTGATTCATTCCATTAACTATTTAAAAAAACATTTGCATTAAAACTGAATAAATATTTAGGAACAATATTTAATATTGTTGACTTATAAGATGTTTATTCAATTCTTCAAAAAAAAAGACAAGTCAAACATATAAGATATTTTCTGAAATTCCTTCTTGAGCAAAATCCTATTTATATATTTGAAACCTAACGTAGTGGATTTCAATTTTCCATTTTGATCTGCCATATAGTTGCCTTTTTTCTGTTATTCATGTTTAATATAAGCGATGGTTTCCAGTTTCAAAAGAAAATGTGCCCAACGAAAACAGGCATACTTCTAACAGCCTTACAAATCTGCATTGCGATGAGAATGTCATATCAAAGGCTATACTCAAATAGAATTAAAGGCGAGTACTTATTTCAAAGATTAGTTTTAGAGGGAAAATATTTTTTTAAAGTATTTCTGTTTATAGAAATGATTTTAAATTTTGCGTTCAAGAAAACATTTATTTCAAATTCATTACAGTAGTTTATTTTCAAATAAAATTTAGAAACTCATAAATAAAAAACACTTTTATATTTTACATTGTATAACTATTGCATTGAAAAAATATGGTCAGAGCTATCAGAATATGAAAAATAGTTTTAGTTATAGTTTAGTAGATAGTTTTGAGGAAAAGTTTTAAAAATATCTTTTCAAAGGTTGCTGCGAATTTTATTTTTCATGTTTATAACCTTTATTCTTCTACGCGGCGATAAAAATTCAAGTAGAACTACTGTATTGTGTGGAGATGACATTTCTATTAAAAAGAACAACAAACAAACATAATTCTGTTGCTAAGAACCAAAATAGGTATTTGAACCATATATTATAGGTATTTAAACCATTCATTTGGTAAATTCTTTTATATAAAGATGCTTACTGAAAATTCCAGTTTTTAAAACTATAGTTCCTATTACTACACTTTAAATAAAAAATACGAAACTGAAAACCAAATTTCAATTAATAAAAAGCTATTATACCATACTAACAGGTATCATGGTGGAACTACTAAGTTTTACCTCAGTTACCAAATTTTATCACATATTATAAAACCATATTTTATTGTTAATTTTACCAAAGCACTTCTTCTCAGCTTTTTGATAATCCCATAGACTGTGGTGGCATATACGGTGACTTATATCATATTCTAGTAGCGTTGACGATACTTATTTTTTTTATCAATGAAGGGAAAAAATTCAAATTCTGGCACGCTTTAATTCTAACCCCCTGCTCACACTGAAAAATTAAAATGAACCTATGACGATGGTGATCGCCATTATTAACTTATAGTGGTATTAAAAGTCTCATCATGGATTTTCTTGGCCTTTACCAACACATCTTAAATATGGATGTAGTAAAATTATAATCTCCAGGAAACTAATAAAAATCGTTTAAGTAAAATATGATTTATTAATAAAGCATTTGATATTTTAAAATGACCATATATAAAACACAAATGATAAAAATAATTCCCAAGATAACATTTCTCCAAATCAAGATAACAGTTCTCCAAATTGGGAGAGACTCATGGATAGGAGATCCAAAATTGGCGATTTATCAAAATATAACATAGCCAAAAAAAAGCCAACCTCTCATAATCAATATTGGGTTTAAAAATACCTTGGCGATCACGAGTCGCCAACAAAACTGTGAGAATTATTACAACCATGTAACTGAAATATATTTGCGGTAAGAAATTTAAGAATTAAAAAGTTATAAATAGATTTTTGTTTTCGATTAGTCGCGGCAGTGAATTAGTGAGTCTATATTAGAATTGAAAATGTATCCGTTACATTGAGTGATAGGAAAAGAATAAATTAATTTTATGTTCGCTTTAAAAGATTAACTCATTGATTTATTTTAAATATAATTCGATTAATAAAATAAGTTTAAGTAAGAAAAGAAATTTTAAAAGTTACGAAATATGCAATGCCAAATGCGGTATGACAGAACCATTTTATATTTTTAACATTTTACTTTAATAAAGTAAAACATAAGTTTTTCTTCATCAAATAAATCAAATAAACAAATGAAGTAAACATTACAATCAAATAAAGTAAAACATAAAGTAAAACATTTGAATAATAGATATGCAAATTTATCGAAAGAGACACGGGATCTATCATCTTCTGCTCGCTATTGCTCACTTGTCCCAGAAAAGCTTTCACAGATACTTTCAGATCGCTTCGCTCGGTAACCAGATACTATAACAAAGGAATCTAGAATTCTTTTTTTATACAATATGCTCGTAAAAAGACCTAAACTGTCTGGGCTTTTGATAGTATTCGGAGATCCTACTATTATATATTAAATTATTGATATATCCTTTTATATATCAGTAATTAATTCAATACTTTTATAAATGATATATCCTTTTTTAAACAACTAAACAATAGTTTTCAGGCAGGACTTCAGAAAATAATTTTCTAGTTGAATTCACAGTATTAAACCTTAATTTCAATTGAAAAAATTTGATTTAGGCTTTACTGAGGTAAACGTTCGACAATGACAAAACTGGAGCTTGGACAATGATAAAACTGGAGGAAAATTGTATCGCAATATTTGAGAGAAAGCTTTTGCGGAGCGTACTTGGAGGAGTAAATGAAAACAACAACTTGAAAAGGAGATTTAACTTTGTACTGTACAAGATTTATAAACAACCTGACATTATTAAATATTTAAAAATAAATAGAATGAATTGGATGGCCCACGTGATTCGAATGAGTGATGACTATACAATAAAAAAGCTACTTCTTTTTAGACCCACTGGAAAAAGAAAGCGGGGAAGATCACGGTTGAGATGGGCTGACTCAGTGGAGTCCGATTTTCTTGCAATTAATGAAAAGAATTGGAGATCAAAGATAAATCGGAAGTCTTTATGGAGAAATCTTCAGAGGAAGACATTGGCTCACATTGGGCTGTCTGGTCAACTATGATGATGAAGATGAGGTAAGCGTTTTACAAATATTTCCCATTTGTTAGCTAGTTTCTCAAAAAAATCAAACTGGACACTCTCAGAAATATGCATTGAAAGTTGAATAACAATTCTCTGCAAATTTACGGCGACCTTAATAAAGTGTTAAATTCAACCATCTTTTAATCCTAGAGGAACCATTGAATACTCTATTCTAAAAAGTAAGATATTTTTGGTACACTTTAGCACCATTTTAAGGTTTTAGAAACTTTGAAAAACATCATAGCTTGATATTTTGGTAATATATAATTATCAATAATTTGCAATATCTATTGGTACGTTTTTTTAATTTTCTATGCCCTGTACTATAAATGTACTCCTAACACAAACTTAATAAACTGCAATAAGAGAATCCTGTTACTCAATAAACTGCAAATTACGTTTAAAGATAAATATAAATGCATTTTAAATTAAAAGAAAACACGATTTTACTCGTAAAAATAATATTACAATTTTGTTCATTTTAGTTTATCTAATTTCTTTTAAAATGCTAAAATTTCTCTAAACATATTTTTTTTAAATTAAAAAAAGACATTTTTATACATTCTTGTACAATTTCCTGATCCAAATGAAAAATAACTATAGTGCTTTGTCTATTTCTTAGAATAATTAAAATATAACTTATATACATTCTTAAGTAGTTTTAATGCGCAAAATAAACATCACAGAAGAAAAACTTACTATAGTTGGGCAATTTTTTCAAGTAATCCTTAGTTTGGGGTATTTCCTTTTGTCAAATAACCCCCTTTTCTAAGAAATTTAATCGAATAAATCTTTGTTGTTAGTCAACTAAAAGGGTTTATTAAAATTCTTCTATTTCCTCCGTCGAATACAGACTGATAGGAATTTTTTCCATAACAACACAGATGAATCTCTTAATATAAATCTTTGGGATACCCTTTTACATTTTACATTTATGCTTTGTTAGTTGTAATTACCAATGGGTAATTTGACACAGTAATTATTCTAACATAATTCTGTGTTTAATAAAAAGAAAATAAATACTCAAAATGGCTTTCAGGAGAATAGAAAAAATAAAATTTTATTCAAAATTAAACATAAAAATTACAGAATTCGAAAACATAAATAATATAACATAAAAAATAAGAACAAAAGCATATTGAAGAGTTTCAGAAAAACTTTCAACTTTAACAAAAAAAACATACTAAAAGAATAAGAATAAAATAAACTTTTAGAAATATCGTATGAGCATAACAATTACAAATAATATATGTAATAAATATGCAATAATAAGTATATAGCAAAAATAAATTATTTAAAAGTATGTATTAAGTTTATAGGTGCATAAAACATTTATTGTAAAATAAAATAAAGGTAGAAACATTCGAAAAATTAAAATACAGTGGAAAATATAATTAGAGTTAAGACTTTTTGTTCATTTTTTTATTTATTTTTTTATTTTCGCTTCCTAAAATTTGGAGATAAATTAAACTGGCAATGTCAGACCCTTAAGAAATTTAACCACCTTCACGCTCGTAAATTAAGAATATTCTTATATAAAAAAAGACATGGCGATAAATTTTCTCTATTTAAACAACACATAATATGCGCTATCATTTACTGGATAAGTAACTTACCTATTCTTGCCAGTAAAATCAGCACGTTTACTGCATTAAGGAACCTGCACAATTTCCCAGTATACATTCTTTATGCCGGATAATGTTGCCAAAAAACCACTTGTTGATCCTCTTAAATCTACTCCAAGAAACCTACATAAAATTGGCCGTCATCCAAAAGTAGAGATGTTTTTTGCTAGATAATTCATATGTCCTTATTTAGCCAATCTCAAGCATTACACTACCCAAGAAATATATTGTAATATACTTTTTTTTATTTAATCTAGAGCATTAGTCTATTTGATCTATATTATCGACCAGCTTCACATCAATTTTGTTATCTAAATACGTAATCACCAATTAAAATTGACTCTGAATTCCAGATTCCAGAAATAAAATATTTTCTAAGAAATAAAATTTTATAAGGTACTTTTCTTTCTTTTTATTTTAAAGCTGTATATGAAATATATCCCATATATATCCAAACAGTTATCTTTCACTAAGGTCCATTTTTTACTCTTTGGAAACTTTAATAATATTTATACCATTTTAATAATGCACCAAAAGATGCCTAATATGATGTTTTAAAGCACAAGACTTATTCAGTGAGATTCATTAGAAACATATCTATTTTTGTTTAGTAACACTTCCTTCAAAATGAAATTCATCTCAATGGAATATTTCACACAAATTGAATAACTTTCCACAAAAAGGTAAACTTTTTTTCTCCTCTGATTGAAATATGTTTTAGTGTCGGCAGCAAAACAATCCACTGTCTTGAAACAACAATAAAAATCTGCTATTTTTGAGAACTATAGCCTCCTCGACAGGACGAGAGCACGTGCTCAAGTGAGGTGGAGTTAGTTTTGTGTTCTTTCGCCCAATTCTCCGAGGGATGGCGCACGTGAAACTTCTTCCTGATTGGTGGAAAGATACTGAAAGGCTTGATTCGAAAACACTGAGTCGATAAGAACTGTTAATGGCCTAAATACACCACCCGTGGTTTTTATTCTTTCGCTGAGCCTCACTCGGTTGATTAAATATAGATATGCTTCATTGCTGTTTCGGTAATAAATTTTTAGGATGATTTAAGTTTAGCGTAAACTCGTATATTTATTTTTATTTCAACACTTTGGGAAAAATTGTTTATAATCTATGCTAACTAAAGGACTTGTCTTTGCTATGCTAACTAAGGGACTTTACACCTGTAATCTAGTTTAAAACATTTTGAACATTTTGATGAAATGTATGCACAATTGTATAAAAAAAAATTCACTGTAAGAAATGAATGCTCAAAATTTCACGCAACTTCCTTCGTTTTAACAAAATCGTTACTAGGTAAATTCGGAGTTATTTTTTTCTTCCTGCAAAAATTTTGTCAAAGTCAAGAGATCACTGTTAATGAATTTCGTCAATATTAAGGAAATATTTAGTCATTCTATTTTTACTGAAGAAAAACCTAACAGCCCCTAATATACCTGCCTTTTTTAATAATCACTTTATCGTAGGTATCCTGTAGGTGGATCAATGTCACAAGAAGGACAGATAGAACGAAGAGATAAATTACACACATACCACAAGCGGGATTCGGTCCAACATCTTCCTGGCACGATACCAACTCCTTGCCAACCATACACACCGGTCGGCTTATTTCGTCCCTTTTTTGATCGTCTAGTCTACATTTTAGCTTTGTCATTCTAGTTCACAATCTCCCACAATGCATTGTGATGAGCCTCCCAGTTAAGGAAACATTTTCGTCATGTCTTTGAAGGTTTACATTTTGCCACAAATCACGCGATTTTGTGACGAAATAATTCTCAAATTTAACAAAATAACGTTCAAGGGTGTTGAATCGGCAGAAATGAGAGTTCTATTTCTGAGAGTGTAACTAAAGTTCTCAAGTTGATAAAGAACACAAAAAAAATAAATTTTGAGTTAATAAACGGGATTTTTTAAAAATAATTTATTGATTGATTTAAATGTGCTCTAAAATCTTAAAAAGAAACAATAAAATTTTGTATTGTATTATTATTACTTATCAACAGGTCTTTTTCCCAGATTTCAAGTAAATTAATTTTCAACGGAAAAAAAAGTTTTGAAATTTCTCTAACTATAGTTAATGACTCATGCATAATTCATAGATGTCAAAAAATAATAGATGCTTCACAAATATAGATGCAAGGTTAGAAACTTTATGAAATACAAGGAAATAAGTTTTGGAGTTGCAGCTATCAACTGTTCACTGATTTAAAAACAAAGTACAGGATACCATATACTTTGTATATAGTTTAAAAAGATAAATCAAGAACATATTATTCTCAAAAATAAATAAATCTCTTAAAAATTCTGAGGTCTTAAAAAATTTTCACCTTTTATGCAGGACGTTCTTTTTATATAGTAACAGTACATGTTATTGGTAACATATTTAAAAAAATTTAGCTTGCCACTTTTGGCTTTAATGCAGAGAAGTATCAGAAAATCTTCTGCCTTAAGCTACAATTCACCAACTAGTATTTTATGCCACTTCTTCCAAAAAGTTCTCTTCTAATTAGTTCTCGTCATCTAACAAGAAGTCATGAACAAAGTCTTATGAGGTTTAGTGCTAACTCTTTTCTACAAGATGGATCAACCTGAAAAATTCATTGAATTCAAGTTTGGAAAAAAAAGAGGCAAAGCATATGGTCAAAACTACCAAAATATGGTAACAATGAAACATGGTTTTACAATTCGTGATAAAATTTGGTAAATGTGGTAAAATTTAAAAAGATTATTTTTATTTCTTGTAACAAGGCATAAAATCCATTTGTTCGGTTAAATTAAGTTTTCAGTTTTGTATTTTTTACTGAATGTCTGGTGATAAGAAATATAATTTTGAATACCAGAATTTCTGGTAAACTACTACCATGTGAACGGAAAATTTATCAACTGAATGTCTTAAATGCCGTATATTTCCGTTTTATAACCAGATTTATGGTTTTATTTTTGCCAGAAATGTCATTATCATATAGTGCGGTAATTTCCTCAGATTTTTTTTTCTGTGTAATATAAGAAAATTGGAAAAAAGAATTTCACATTGACAAAAATTCTGGATCTAATTAGGGTACATAAAGTACAGGCACCCTGAGTGTAGCATCCGAAATAAGAAAGTGTGTAGCATCCGATCCATTTTACCATAATATTTTGTGCTTTAAATTTTACAGCAATATTTATTTAATTACAGTGACTCGGTAAATATTGCAATAAAAATTACGCTAAATCAGGTTTTTTGTTTCGTTAAAAATTTGAACTTTATAATAAAAAGCACATTTTAACCGTAATGTTATCCGGGGTTTTTTTTACAATGTGTGCCTTCCTGAGTACTTTTCCTACGTGTGATGGAGCAAAATTTAATCGAATTAGAAAATAAATTTTTAGTTTCCGAAAAACTGTTGAGCCCATGATGAGTTCCAAGATGAGTTAGATATTATTAGGATAAAACAAAAATTGGTTTTAAGTATTCTCCATGCCTTCTCTTGCCCCCTGCAATAATTTAGAATGTTCGAATTCTTTTTGTTGCTGCCACTGTGTTCCAATATATAATTGTATAAAAATGTTGAAATTCGAACTGATTTTCAATAATAATTAGAAATTACGTCAAAAAAGAAACTAAAGTTACAAAACAATTGAATATAATGATGATTTTAAATATTGTTTTGAAATTAGATTATTTAACTGATAAATGTCCTTCTTGACAAATATAAGTACAATGATGGAACGCATTCTTCATTTCCATTAAAATAATTTTTAAAAATTTATTTAAGCAAAATATTTGGAATGTTAAAACTTTTTTAAATCATACTAGTTTTTTCACACCATTTATTTGCTGACTATATTGCCAAAAATATGCTATTTTATAAAATCGAGGATCATTCAGTTATTCATTCACAAATAACTCCAATTCTATTTTGACACATTTTTCTCCAACAACCTTGCACAACTTCGGTGGACAGGAAAAGTCTTCCTTATTTTGCTTAGCATTTAAAAAAAAAATATGCATCGCTTCGATTACATTCTTAAAATATTTTTATTTTGAAAAACCCTATTCTATAAAAGTATTATGTAATTAAAATTACTATTTTGAAAATTGAAATGTATCAAACGGAATTCATTAAATCTGCTATGGATATATCTTACAGTATTATCAACACAACAAAGAATAGTGCAGTTATGTAACAAATACCATACTTAATAAAAAAGCACATGTTATATTATTTCTGAAACGATACTGTGATACAATCCTATTTTCCTGTAATAATAAAATGAAGAGTTAATCAATGCATGCGTCAGGGTGTGTCTCTCTTATAACTCGAGAACCGTTTGTCCAATCTTTTCGAAATTTCCACAGTGGCTGCAAAAGAAAATGTCACCTCCAGATATTATTTCTACTAGTTCATTATCAATAAAATTATAATATAATTGTATTATAATAATTATTTATCATGAAATAATTAATTATAATATAATAATTAATTACAATTATAATATTATTACAATTATAATAATTAATAATTAATTACAATTATAATATTGTAGTATTATTCTTAATCGATAATGAATCAATTAAGCAAGATGATTATAAATTATTTCTTATATGATGGATGGCTTCTGTCTGGATGAAAAATAGAACAGCTATGGTGAATAAAACATTTGCTAACCTTCTGAATAAGTCTCACTTGTATTAAGATGATAAAACAACACCACATTGGTGACCAGCGGACGTGATAAGAACATACCAATATTGATTGATGGTCCACATTAAAACAGTTGATTAGCCTTTAAAAAAAAGGGGGGATGTACTGTTCAAAGAAAAGAAGAAAAAAATCCGGTGAAGTAAATAAAGTCTCCCGGTAAATAAACAATATTGAAAAAAAATGAGCGAAATGCTATAAACAAAAATGAAGGGGGAAAAAACGAGCGAAATGCTATAAATACAAAAAAAAAATGAGCGAGATACTATGAGGAAAAAATACAATGAGCAAGAATGATATAAATAAATACACTGCATAAATCAACAAGTGGTATCCGTTCATCGAATTCTATCACAGATGAAATTCTGGAAGGGAGTAATGTGGCGTAACTACCACTACAAATATTAAATATCAAATCACTAGTATATAAGACATGTTAACTTGATTCTATCACGAGGTACCTTTTGATAGATGAAGGTTGGGGAATTATATATAGACTATATATATTATTTATAGACTATAATTCCCCACATTATAAGAATTAATTATCAATACAAGAAAATTCAATTAGTTCTTTCAGAAAATATATTGTTTAAAAAGGGTTTTTTTCCTCTTTAGCGCTTGATATAAATTAAACTGTAGGCAATACTGTTTTTTTTCCCTATATTTAAAAGGTAATACCAGTGATGCTTGTTTACTTCACTACTGTGCCCAGTAAAAAAGTTCATAGCAATTCTATATATACTAATTATTTTTATGGTACTTCTCAGCTAGACGGAACGGAAGCGAAAAGACGTCAAAAACTTTAGAACTCCACCTTTTTTTACCACGTTTATATAAACTTGCCTTCGTGTATGTCTGTCCGGGTGGAATTTTGTAATCGATTTTAAACTAACTTCCCGACTAGCTACAAACTTCAAATCTGGCACATAGTTCAGAATTGGATGACAATGCATGAAAATGAAGAGAAAAAAGACAAACAAANAAGGGGGGATGTACTGTTCAAAGAAAAGAAGAAAAAAATCCGGTGAAGTAAATAAAGTCTCCCGGTAAATAAACAATATTGAAAAAAAAAATAAGCGAAATGCTATAAACAAAAAACGAGCGAAATGCTATAAATACGAAGAAAAAAATATGCGAGATA